GACATGGAAAATGAAGGCTCTTTTATAACTGTGTGATTAAACCTTTCTTCTAATATACTCATATATGAAAGAATAGCAATTATAGGGATGATAACATACTTTATGCTATATATGACATACACCAGTCATTAAAGGGTTTATAATATACTTGTTCGATATATGATAATATCAATGCTACACCATTTTATGCCCTTTTATCTGAAACAAATCCCCTATTATTGAAACAATTATAAACATATTTAATTTCGTCCTATGCAATTACATAGAGCATTACACAAAAGATGTAATAAATATAAAATACACAATGGTAATTATTATATAGTGATAATTTCAACTTAACTTTTTATACAGAGCATGACACAAAAGATATAAGTACACAATGGTAATTATCATATAGTGTTGATTTTTTTATTATTTTATTCATTTAAATTATTTATTCATTAGTTTTGTCTATTTTTTATTATATATATTTTTCTTTAGTGCTATGAAAAAAGTTTATTAGATTTAGGTTATGGTTTATTCACTACATAATGAGGAAGTTGGCTTGAAGAATTTAACACTCACAGGACATATTGAAAGAAAGAGTGACGAAGGGAAAAATTTAATAGTTAACCATATGAGCATGTATAAATAGATGACAGAACAGGGACTGGGAGAGATGGTGAAAAGTCAAACCTTACTAAAAGGAAATTGTGGAGAGCTATGACTGCCCACATTCTGAAGAAACGTGGTACATACATGAAGTGACCAATATACTGGCCACCAAATGAGTAACGTCACTTGGTCTGAAGATTGCATTGTTAGTCACCATGCAATGTTGATTACTATGTCTACATTATCTATCTCTCTATATTTATATATATTTACATGTGTACACACACACACACACATATATATATATATATATATATATATATAAAAAACAGAAGATGTGTGCGTTTGTGTGTACGTATCTGTGTATGCTATTTACGCACATCCGTATTTCTTGACAGATTTCAATGAAATTGGACACACATGTTGAAAATTTACCAAGATAGGTCAAGACCAACTTTTCAATCTCCAGGCCCCTCAGGTTTGGGAGGAAAATCAATAAAACTGAAAGTGGATGTGATTTTTTGCAAAAACTAAGGCAAAGTTACATGCAAACAAAATTTTTACTGGATGAGCTGATGTTCTTTGTATTTAATGCAAAACATAGCACATGTTACAAGTTTTATGTAGAGTGCTTGACAGTTTTCCTGCGACATTGGCTTCACACAAAAAATTGCAAAAACTTTGAAAAAAATCACGTTTTTTGTACTACTTAAAATAAAAACTAATAACTTCCTCATTTTTTATCCGATTTTCTTCAAACATGTTGCAAAAATATTACCATCATGCAAGAAATAAGATAAAGTGTGGTTTTATTCTTGCTCCCTTCCTCAAGTCTAATGAAAATCCACAAAAAACTGCCAAAAAGCCATTTTTTTGGCCATAACTCAGTTTTTTTATCTGATGCTTTCTAAATTTGCCATGTAAATTACATATGACACACAAATTGTCTTACATGAATGTTTGGTTTAGATTATTTTAATTAAGTTGATGAAATCTACAACAAACTAGGTCAACAATCAGCTTCAGCCATTTAGCCAATAGTTTCTTTATATGATTCCATCCTAAATTGGCATTCGAACAACCTTTGATGCAAAGAATGTTTTAGAAGGGTTATTGATGTGTTAAAAGGGAAAAATTCCGAAAGACGCTCTTATTAATGCCAGCTATACAATAAACATTTGAAGAAGGGGGGGAGGCAACTGAATCAAGCACTGATGCTTCAATCTGTTTTTGGTTGATTATTAGATATGTGAACAGTGTCATACTATTTGAAAGTTATTTCAGCATAGGGAATTTATTGAATATCTAAAACATTGAAACAATTTAACCCTGATGACCACACAAGAAGGTTTTATCAATGGAATTAATTTATTAAGAACTTGTGAAGGACATACCTTAAGAAAGTTGAGGTAGGGCATAGCTTAGTATAACAACAGATATATATATATATATATATATATATATATATTTTTTTTTTTTTTTGAGTAAAAACAGATCACTTTAAGGTTCCATGTAATAAGTTATTTCACGACAACCCTTTTAAAGGGCTCTGGATCATCAGACTTTACTTCTAAAAGTTGAAATGAAAAATGAAAAGAAACTTACACATTTTTGATGGACCGCACCAAGCATATGTAAAATTAACGAAGTGAAGTGGGAGAGAATGAGTGAGTTAGATGTACCATTTTCAATTCCTTATCCTTAACCCCACTCTTTGTAGGCTAGATGCCGCTTAACTTAATGTATGCTATCTAGATATAGATGGGTAAGGGGTGAGGGAGAAGACCAACTTAAAGGGGGAAGATACATAGAATTATTTGAATTGGAATAAACGTTGATAATTAGAAAACAGTAACGAATTTAATTTATGAACAAGAATCAAACGAATAGATGTCAACTTAACAAGCTATAAGAAAAAAGTTTAGGAAAATAAAAAGGATTACTAGATATAAAATGGATTATTCTTTCAATGTACTTTCTATGATTTTTCCAATCGACTATTTCATAGAAAATACTCAAAACTCCAACAAACTTCAAATTAAATTCATCGTAGATTTTTTAGACATTTAGATTTATATCAAACTCTAACCCCCAAAGATATCCTTTAAAGTAATGCGAAATAACAGCGTCTAAGAATTTGAGTGAATCCTGATCTCAGGGACATGATTTATTATTTTATTTTTAATTCGTTAATTTCACATACGCTTGGTGCGGTCCGTCAAAAATGTGTAAGTTTCTTTTCCTTTTTCATTTCAACTTTTGGAAGTAAAGTCTGATGATCCAGAGCCCTTTAAAAGGGTTGTGGTGAAATAACTTATTACATGGAACCTTAAAGTGATCTGTTTTTATTCAAACATATTTGCTCTGAATTTACATTGCCTCCTAGGGTCTAACCCATACGGATTACCTAGTTTTGCATAAACTAACTAACTATATATATATATATATATATATATATATATATATATATAATGTAAATCTTATGTTTATCATATATTATTAAGAAGGTGATAAACATACATGCAACTAAAAGTTTCATGGTAGCAGAATCAATTGTCACATGCATTTCTTATTTATTAATACAACAGATATTATCACTTAAATGTTAGCAGATACTCATATTTGAGTATGTAGAGTTTGGTAGTGGCAACTGACAATACTCAACTGTAATAGAAGTTGAGTCTTACTGAGTAAGTGTAGAATTTGGTAATAGCAACAGACAGTACTCGAAAGTTGAGTCTGACTGACTAAGCCATCTGTCTAGGCAAGTTGGCAGCCTGGGAGATTCCATTCTGATACCCAGGAAAGCCTATTCTGCAAGTCCTGATTGGTTGCTGATTCCAGTGTGGATACTGTGCGCGATAAATATCCATCAGTAAACTGTAAATCTCTGGGAAATGTATTGAGTTACAACCCACTTTATTTTATCTGCCAACTGGACGCTAGTTGGGAACCTCCTTACTAGGAGGAGTCTCATATTCCTGAATCATCATTATTTACTTTGGTGATTTATTAACCATTAATAATATTTTCAACTATTCAGTATATGAAAATAAATATACTGTTTATATATATATATATATATATATATATATATATATATATATATATAAAGAACCGATTATCAACAAAACAGGTCTGGCTACTTTACATTTCTATATTTTCCTTATTTTTTCTCCCTTCTTCCTTTTCTTTATAGAAGAGGCTATCATGTGCCTTTCTTGCTCTTATTTTTTTTCTTCTTTTTCATGGGAAAAGAGGTTGTTAGTAAGTAAATATTAAAAATTGTAATAATCCTCATTTACTACTGATGAGATGTAATGATATGCATCTAAACATGAGTGCATTTATGTTGTGGATTTACACGTGTTCTAATGTAATATCCTATAATTAAGACAATAGTTCTACTATTGTATTAAGCCCTATTTTTAAATTAATGTTTTGAACGTTTGAATTTATATTTGTTCTCATTTCATTGGGATATATGTAAATACACAACACACATTATTAAAAAAAAAATGATGAAAACAATCATTTTTAATCCTAATTGTTACATGAGGGTGGTGAAAAGTTCTTGACCTGGCCCACTTCTCAAAATCAGTAATTTAATGCTCAAACATCAGAACACTGATTTTGTAAAGTTGTTTGGGCTATGAACATTCTAGACTTTCTAGCTAGACCCTTGTGTGTTATCAATTCACAAACAGTGAGCCTGGTTGATAAAAGAATTAAAAAACTACAACACTGATAATGGTTTCGAATTATCTCTAGGTGGAATGATTTGACAAAGTTAAACATACTAAAGGCAATTCTGATTGAGAAGATCTTCAAATTGAAAAAAATTTCTGAGAGAATGAAAAAATCAAAAATTTTGAAAAAAATGCACAGCAAGAAAAGAAGAAAAAAATAATGACAGTCATAAGAGCTAACTAATCAAGATGAAAGAAAAGGAAATAAAATAGTACAAATAAGAATGAGTTATGACCAAATGAAAATAGAAATGAGTTGAATGTAAATAGCAATACAAAAACAGAAAAGAATCAAAAGAGAAATGTTTGGAATGAAGAATGATGTAAAAAAGAAATGCATTGAAGAAGAGACAGACAGAAACAGAAATGCATTGAAGAAAAGACAGACAGAAACAGAAATGCATTGAAGCAGAGACAGACAGAAACAGAAATGCATTGAAGAAAAGACAGACAGAAACAGAAATGCATTGAAGAAAAGACAGACAGAAACAGAAATGCATTGAAGAAAAGACAGACAGAAACAGAAATGCATTGAAGCAGAGACAGACAGAAACAGAAATGCATTGAAAAAAAAGATGACAGAAAAAGAAATGCAGAAGAAAAGACAGACAGAAACCGAAATGCATTGAAGAAAAGACAGACAGAAACAGAAATGCATTAAATGAGAGACAGATAGAAACAGAAATGCATTGAAGAAAAGACAGACAGAAACAGAAATGCATTGAAGAAAAGACAGATAGAAAGAAAAAAGACAGAAGAAAGAAAATGCATGAAAGCAAGAGACAGATAAAAACAGAAATGCATTAAAGACACAGACAGAAACAGAAATGCATTGAAGAAAAAGACAGACAGAAACAGAAATGCATTAAAATGAGAGACAGAAAACAGAAAAAAAAGAAAAAAAAACAGAAATGCAAAGAAACAGAAATGCATTGAAGAAAAGACAAAAAAAGAGAAATGCAACCAAAGAGACAGATAAAAAAAAAAGACATTAAAAAGAGACAGAAAAACAAAATGCAGATGAAGAAAAGACAGAAAAAAAGAAATGCAAAAAGACAGAAATAAAAAACAAAATGCATTGAAGAAAAGACAGACAAAAAAAAAAATGCATTGAAAGAGACAGACAGAAACAGAAAGAAAAAGACAGACACAAACAAAATGCATGAAAGAAAAGAAACAGAAATGCAAAAAAGACAGAAAGAAACAGAAATGAAGATGACAGAAAAAACAGAAACATTGAAGAAAAGACAGACAGAAAAACAGAAATGCATTAAAGAAGAGACAGATGAAACAGAAATGCATTAAAGACAAAAAAGACAGATAGAAACAGAAATGCATTGAAGAAAAGACAGACAGAAAAAAAAGATTGAAGAAACAACAAAACAGAAATGCATTGAAGAAAGACAGACAGAAACAGAAATGCATTAAGAAAAAAGACAGATAGAAACAGAAATGCATTGAAGAAAAGACAGAAAGAAACAGAAGAAAAAGACAGACAGAAACAGAAATGCATTAAAGAAAAATGAGATAAAACAAATGCAAAGAAAAAGACAGAAAAAACCAAAATGCATTGAAGAAAAAGACAGACAGAAACAGAAATGCATTGAAACAAGAAAATAAGATGAAATGCATTAAAGAAAGACAGACAGAAACAGAAATGCATTGAAGAAAAACAGACAAAATGAAATGCATGAAAGAAAAGACAGACAGACAGAAATGCATTGAAAAAAAGACAGACAACAGAAATGCATTGAAGATGACAGACAGAAACAGAAATGCATTGAGAAAAAAGACAGAAACAAAAAATTGAAGAAAAGACAGATAGAAACAGAAATGCATTGAAGAAAAAGACAGATAAAAACAAAATGCATTGAAGAAAAAGACAGACAGAAAAAAATGCATTAAAGAAAAGACAAACAAAACAGAAATGCATTAAAAAAAGACAGAAAAAAACAGAAAAAACAAAAAAGAAAAGACAGAAAAAAACAGAAAGAAAAGAAAAGACAGAAAAAACAGAAATGAGATGAAGAAAAAGACAAACAGAAATGCATTAAGAAAAGACAGAAAAATGAAAGAAAAAAACAGACATGAAACATTAAAGAAAAAAAAGAAAGATGAAAGAAAACAGATAGAAACAGAAATGCATTGAAAGAAAAGACAGATAGAAACAGAAATGCATTGAAGAAAAGACAGAAAGAAACAAAATGCATTGAAGAAAAAGACAGAAACAGAAACAAAAATGAAAGAAACAGACAAAATGCATTGACAAAGACAACAGAAACAGAAATGCAAAGCAGAGAAGAAAGAAACAGAAATGAGATTGACAGAAAGACAGACAGAAACAGAAATGCAAACAAGAAAAGAGAGACAGAAAAGAAATGATTGAAAAAGAGACAGAAAAACCAAAATGCATTAAAGAAAAGACAGACAAAAAAATGCATTGAAGAAAAGACAGATGAGAAACAGAAATGCACAGAAAGAAAAGACAGAAAAACAGAAATGCATTGAAGAAAAAAAGACAGAAACAGAAAAATTGAAGAAGAAACAGATAGAAACAGATGACATTGAAAAAGACAGAAACAGAAAAAAGAAATTGCAAAATGAGACAGACAGAAAAGAAATGCATTGAAAAGAGACAGATAAAACAGAAATGCATTAAAGAAGACAAGAAAAGATAGAAACAAGAAATGCATTGAAGAAAAAGACAGACAGAAACAGAAATGCATTAAAAAGAGACAGATAGAAAAAGAAATGCATTGAAGAAAAGACAGAAACAAACAAAATTGAAGCAGAGACAGATAAAAACAGAAATGCATTAAAGAAGAGACAGACAGAAACAGAAATGCATTGAAGAAAAGACAGACAGAAACAGAAATGCATTAAAGAAGAGACAGATAGAAACAGAAATGCATTGAAGAAAAGACAGACAGAAACAGAAATGCATTAAAGAAGAGACAGATAGAAACAGAAATGCATTAAAAGAAGAGACAGATAAAACAGAAATGCATTGAAAAAGAAAAGAAAAAGATAGAAACACCAAAATGCATTGAAGAAAAGACAGACAGAAAAGAAATGCATTGAAAAAGAGAAGACAGAAATGCATTGAAGAAAAAGACAGATAGAAACAGAAATGCATTGAAGCAAAAAGACAGAAACAGAAATGCATTGAAGAAAAGACAGATAGAAAAAGAAATGCATTGAAGCAGAAACAGACAGAAGAAACAGAAATGCATTGAAGACAGAGACCGATAGAAACAAAATGCATTGAAGAAAAAGAAGACAGAAAAGAAACAACCAAAATGCATGAAGCAGAGACAGACAGAAACAAAGAAATGCATTGAAGAAAAGACAGACAGAAACAGAAATGCATTAAAGAAGAGACAGATAGAAACAGAAATGCATTGAAGAAAAGACAGACAGAAACAGAAATGCATTGAAGCAGAGACAGACAGAAACAGAAATGCATTGAAGAAAAAGACAGATAAAACAGAAATGCATTGAAGAAAAAGACAGACAGAAAACAGAAACAGAATTGAAGAAAAAGACAGATAGAAACAGAAAAAAGAAAAGACAGACAGAAACAGAAATGCAAAAAAGAAGAGACAGATAGAAACAGAAATGCATTGAAAGAAAGAGAAGACAGAAACAAAATGCATTGAAGAAAAGACAGACAGAAACAGAAATGCATTAAAGAAGAGACAGATAGAAACAGAAATGCATTGAAGAAAAGACAGACAGAAAAAGAAAAACATTAAAAAAGAAGACAGATAAAACAGAAATGAAAGAAAAGACAGACAGAAACAAAATGCATTGAAGAAAAAGACAGACAGAAACAGAAATGCATTGAAGCAGAGAAGACAGAAACAGAAATGCATTGAAGAAAAGACAGATAGAAACAGAAATGCATTGAAGAAAAGACAGATAGAAACAGAAATGCATTGAAGAAAAGACAGACAGAAAGAGAAATGCATTGAAGCAGAGACAGATAAAAACAGAAATGCATTAAAGAAGAGACAGATAAAAACAGAAATGCATTGAAGAAAAGACAGACAGAAACAGAAATGCATTGAAGCAGAGACAGATAAAAACAGAAATGCATTAAAGAAGAGACAGACAGAAACAGAAATGCATTGAAGACAGACAGAAACAGAAATGCATTAAAGAAGAGACAGATAGAAACAGAAATGCATTGAAGAAAAGACAGACAGAAACAGAAATGCATTAAAGAAGAGACAGATAGAAACAGAAATGCATTAAAGAAGAGACAGATAGAAACAGAAATGCATTGAAGAAAAGACAGATAGAAACAGAAATGCATTGAAGAAAAGACAGACAGAAACAGAAATGCATTGAAGCAGAGAAGACAGAAATGCATTGAAGAAAAGACAGACAGAAACAGAAATGCATTGAAGCAGAGAAGACAGAAACAGAAATGCATTGAAGAAAAGACAGATAGAAAGAGAAATGCATTGAAGCAGAGACAGACAGAAACAGAAATGCATTGAAGCAGAGACCGATAGAAACAGAAATGCATTGAAGAAAAGACAGACAGAAACAGAAATGCATTGAAGCAGAGACAGACAGAAACAGAAATGCATTGAAGAAAAGACAGATAGAAACAGAAATGCATTGAAGCAGAGACAGACAGAAACAGAAATGCATTGAAGAAAAGACAGACAGAAACAGAAATGCATTAAAGAAGAGACAGATAGAAACAGAAATGCATTGAAGAAAAGACAGACAGAAACAGAAATGCATTGAAGCAGAGACAGACAGAAACAGAAATGCATTGAAGCAGAGAAGACAGAAACAGAAATGCATTGAAGAAAAGACAGATAGAAACAGAAATGCATTGAAAAAAGACAGACAGAAAAAGAAATGCAGAAAAAGCAGACAGAAAGAAAAGACAGAAGAAAAGACAGACAGAAACAGAAATGCATTGAAAAGAGAAGACAGAAAAGAAATGCATTGAAGAAAAAGACAGATAGAAACAGAAATGCATTGAAGCAAGAGACAGACAGAAACAGAAATGCATTGAAGAAAGAGACAGATAGAAACAGAAATGCATTGAAGAAAAAGACAGACAGAAACAGAAATGCATTGAAAAAGACAGACAGACAGAAACAGAAATGAATTGAAGAAAAAAAAGACAGAAACAGAAAAATGCATTAAAGAAAGAGACAGATAGAAACAGAAATGCATTGAAGAAAAGACAGACAGAAAAGAAATGCATTGAAAAAGACAGACAGAAACAGAAATGCATTGAAGCAGAGACAGACAGAAACAGAAATGCATTGAAGAAAAGACAGATAGAAACAGAAATGCATTGAAGAAAAGACAGACAGAAACAGAAATGCATTGAAGAAAAGACAGATAGAAACAGAAATGCATTGAAGAAAAGACAGACAGAAAGAGAAATGCATTGAAGAAGAGACAGATAAAAACAGAAATGCATTAAAGAAGAGAAGACCAGAAAAACAGAAATGCATTGAAGAAAAAGACAGACAGAAACAGAAATGCATTGAAGCAGAGACAGATAAAAACAGAAATGCATTGAAGAATAGTGAGACAGAGACAAACAGAAATGTATTAAAGAAGAGACAGAAACAAAAATGCATTGAACATGAGCAAGCTAAAAAACAAGAATGAATGAACAAAAGGTGAAACCATTTAAAAAAATTAAATGTGTTTTACATGTATCACAAGGTAAGAATTGAAATGAGGTGAAGTATAAGAGGATGGAAAAAAAAACTGGAATTAGTTGAAGGAAAAAGAAAATCTGAAATGAGTTGAAAGAAATGTAAAGAAAATGTTTTAAAGGTGACTACATAAAAATGTGTTAAATGATGAGCTTAAATAAAAAAGATAAAAATGAATTGAAAAGAAAACTGATAGACAAAAGTGAATTGGGTAAAAGAGCAAATAAAAAAAAAATTAAAAAAATTAAAATGATTTAAACAAGGCCAAGTAACATAATGAGAATGATGCAGCAATAAAGAAACAAATTTGCAGAAGAATTATGCAAAGTGGGTTTATTTACTCTTGGGTTTTGATAATTAAAGATTAAGAAACTGGAGGAATTAAACATCATGTAGACAACAAGTACTAAAAAGAGAGAAAATTAAGAACAATTGCCATAAGGAAAAGAAGAAAGACTTTATATCATTTTATATTATACTAAGCCAGTGGGACAAAAATAGGAACACAAATTCTGCTCTAATTATCTTATATATAATAAATAGGATTATGTTACATTTGATTCCATTATCTTGTATTATGTAATTTTTCTGCCTTTCTTTTATTATTCATTGCAATGTCTGAAACATCTGAATTCAGCTCAGCCATTGAAAGAATTTCAAATCTGTTTTTAGATTCCTTACAAAAGATCAATTAGAAAATGAATATTGATTGCAGAATCAACATTGTTTTATTTTTTTTTTTTTTTTTTTTGGTCTTTCATTCTTCACTTTTTTTTCTTAATTTTCTTTCCTTTCTTGTTTGGTGGAAAAGCTGTTTTGTACCCCAAGACTGAAAGGGAATCAAGAACATTTATAGCACAATCTAATTGTCTTCTTTCTCTCTCTCTCTCACATATATATATATATATATATATATATATGTATATATATAAACATACACTATTCTTCCTTCTTTTCTCTCTTTTTCTCTCTACCTCACTTACATATGGCTTTTACTGACTTTCCCTTTTTACTTTCCTTTGTCTATCTACCTTACACATTGATTTTCACTTTTTCTTTTGTATTTCACTCAGTCCTTTTGCTTCTTTTTTTTTGTTGTTGTTGTTTTAATCTGCTCTCTTTAATTGTATTTCTTCTTAGCTGTTCCTTGTCTATATTTCCTTTGCTTTTATTTCTCTCGTTCCTGACTTCTTTCTTTTTTTTTCTCTCTCTCTATTGCTTTCTCTCCCATTATATACCTTTTATATTCTTTCACACAAACTTTTTTTTTTTTCTTTACCTTTTTAATCTTCTAATTTTATTCATATTTTCCTTCTCATCTTTGTTGTTCCTTGACTGTCTTTTGCTTTCACCTTTTCTTTCTCTCTTATATAGACCCTTTAAATGTTCCTTGCCTCTATCTTTTCTTTAACTTTCTTTTTTTCTGTCATTCATGCCTTTTACAGTCTCTATCTTGTTTTTTAGTTATTGTTCTTAGCTTCTTTACTTTGCCTCTTTTTCTCTCTTTCCACTTTGTTGTTCTACTCTTATTCATTTACATCTATTAAAATTGATAGCATAATTAATGTCCTGATTCTGTCTTCCTTTCTTTCTTTTCATTCACTTCTTAACTACCTTGCAGTTTTTTTTTCTTTTTCATTTCTTTTTCATTATCCAACTTGCTTTTTTCCCCTCTCCTTGTATGTTTTCATTTCCTTTTCATTATATCAAAAGAGAAAGTGCAGACAATCATTTTCCATTTTATCTTTCATAACTTCATCCTTCAATTCTTTTTCTTTCTCACTTTATCTTTCTTTTGTTACTTCATCTTTTCTTTGTCTCCCCAGCAACTCATTCAAACTTTATTTTCCATTCAGCTTTCTTTTAATCTATCTCTATTTTTGACTATTTATTATGTATTTATTATCTATTTTTTTAATCTATTTTTATCCAATTTTATCTTTTTATCATTATTTTTCTTTTTATCTATATTTTCCTTTTTATCTAATTTTATCTTTCTTTTTACCAATATTTTTCTTTTTATCTAATTTTATCTTTCGTTTTATCAATATTTTTCTTTTTATCTAATTTTATCTTTCGTTTTATCAATATTTTTCTTATCTTCCTATATTTGTACTTTTCTATCAATATCTTTTTATCTTTATTGTTTTTCTTCATTATTTTTTATATTTTACTTTTTATCTGAATACAAGGTTGGTATAGAAGGAATAAACTTCCAGTAACAAAAAACACTATTTTTTAAAAACTGCTCAATACAGAGTAGAGCGAATAATATTTATTTAAAAATTGTAACATATGTATGTTATAACATTACTACAAAAATAGCCATTTTGTTTCAACACTTCTGGTTTCTTGTCAAGTGACGGTGCTCCAAGTAAAATAAAAAGTTTTTTTAAAGAGTTCAAAACTAACCACTACCCCCACTGGGGGTCGGGATATTTTTACATAAGATGTAATGGCCAATCAAATTACAAGTATATGATAATTCAAATAATGCGATGACAGGACCTAGATACAATTTATTAAAGCTTGAAAATAAATATTAGGTTTTATATGAAATCAGGTAACTAATTAATTTCCAATTTATTATGTAAATGAAAAAAATAAAAGTTACAAATTTTAAACTCTAAATACTTCATTATCGATATTTATTATTTTTAACTTTGTACATTTTTAATTGTTTTTATCTTATGATATTTTGCGTTTTATCTCAACATTTTTGCTTTTAATCTAAACGTATTTTTCATTTTAGCTTTAGTTTTCTATTTACATTTTTCTTTTTATCTCTATTTCTTTATTATTTTAATTCTACAGGGTGCTCCCTAAAAAAACAGGAGATTTTAGATTTACTACATGTGGGTAAAAAATTAATTAACATATAAAAAATTTACTAATAAACTAAAAAAAATATTAGCTAACATGTAAATCTTTTAACTATTTGTTGTTCCAGAATGCCACAGTTATCAAATTTTCAACATGCGGTGATGGTTCTGTCGGAGTTAACTTTTCCTTTAGTTCGTTAACCCTTTCACCAGGGGTCTCTCTTCTCTGGTTATAAATAGCCGCTGACCCTTCACCTCTTTCTCTTTTTTTTCCTCAGGCCTTTGGGTCGCCACCTTGAGGTAAATCTCTCCTTTTCCTCAGGCTTCCAGCCTTACCACTTCGAAGATGTGAACGCTCACCAGAGATAGCATTTCCCAAAATGCTGGGAACACGCTAAGCACAATACGCACACACAAACGCACATATATAATATTCACACACACTTTGTCGTTTTGTAATTGTTTCTATGTAACCTGTTATTAATATATTTATTTGTATACATATGTTATCGGTCTTGTGTTTTGTTTGTTTTCTTTGCATTCTTTGGACTTAATTAAAAGTCCAACTTTCTTATGTAGTTGGACCAGCTAGCAGGAAAATCTGAACCCCACATGTTTCTTCTACTTCTACTCAACAACATTACAGCCACGGTCCACTACAGTTCTTTTTAAGAAAGAACATTCAACTTGGGGACTAAAAGAATGACAAACAATTTTGCCAGTGTTCTTTTGTTTGAACACCACATCAAATATTTGTGTTTTGTTCTGATTTAAGCTACTAAATTTCTATCCTTAGCTTTTGTTTCAAATAACTGTAACAAAAATTTCAACAATTAAATAAACTGTACCAAATTTCCTGTGTGTTTTTTTTTGTGGGGCACCCTGTTAAAACAAGGCTACAGAAATTTGGAAAGAAAAATATGTTAAAGAAAGAAAATCTATTAAACTGTAATACAGAGAAATATAAAAACAAATTTTTTTGTGAGGGCACCCTATATTTTCATTTTCTGTTGTTACTTTTATCTTCATATTTTCTTTTCATTATCCTTTTTCTCATTTTTCTTTCTATCTTTTTTCTTTTAATCTTTTTCATCATTTTTCTTCTTTTTTTTTTTTAGTCTTTTTCTTTTCATCTTTTTTCCTATCTATGTTTTTTAGATCACATTTTCTGCCTCCACTTCTAAATCTCTTCTTTTCTTATCCTCCTCTTCTTTATTCTTTACCCTCTCCTCCTTTCTTATATTCTGTTAATTCTCTTATACTCATTCTGTCTTTTCTCACTACATTCTCATTACATTTCCATCTCTCTTCATGACTCCCTCTTTCTTCTTTTCATCACTTTTCATTTTCCTTCCTACATTGTTTTATCTTCTCTCCCTCCCTACAAATTCTTTCCTCTTTCTTTCTTCTCCCAAAATTATCAAATTCCAATATGTTATAACAAATAAAAGACAGACATTAATATGTACAAAAGTAATCAGCATTTAACAAAATAATAAGACAATGAACCTCATAAGGAAAGCACAAATAAACACAATAAGCAATTTGAAAAAGAAGTTATTTTTACATTCAAAGTATATTTGCCCAAAAAGAAAAACATTAAATACCTACAACATAAAATAAAAGATACCTACAACACAACATAAAAAATACCTACAACATAAAATAAAAAATACCTGCAACATAAAATACTATTAAAATAGTATTACAAAACATAGGTAAACAAATAAATCAACCACAGATTTTAAAACTATGAACTTGATGCAAAATTACCCAACATCAACTTTTTGCATAATGTTAAGAAAATCTTAGAAATGTCTTTTATTGTCTTTTCATGTATACTTTTTATTTATGAAAAAAGATATAATCATTATTTTTTAATCATTTCCCCCCACCCAAGGAAAGTGGGAATGTCACTAGTATGCAGGCAGTTACAGGGAGTGAAAGTGAGGGAAAAAAACTAAGTATAGGGAGGATTGAGGAAAGGGCAAAATATGAACCAGATTTGAAAAGACTGAAGATGGCGATTCATG